ATTTAATAAACGGTATTCTATGATTAAGACTGTAAAGATGACATAGCTTCACGAACGATAATAACATGCTATCGGAAAATGATTCATAAATCAATGTCAGGAAAAAGATCAAAGACCATCTCATTCATAACGCCCAGCTGGTTGACTTCTTAGAATCAAAAATTTTTTCATTAAATAATTATATTTTATTTTAAGCTCACATACGTCGTTCTAATTAAAATTAAACACTTCACACGTTTCTGACGAGAAAGCATTATCTGCCAAAATATTAGTCTAATAATAATGTTTCCAATGATTTCTCAGTTCGATTGTTGAATATTAACAATGTTCAGGTTTATACAATTATACTCTTTAGTATAAGCCTTTATAAAAGACAAATTCCCAAACCCTTTATACTTTTAAACGTGATGTTACATTTAAAGGTCGGATTTTACAAACTTAGCGGATTTTCGTCCTAATTTGACTACGTTGCCATAATCCGTTTGTGGTGGTTCAAACATAAATAAAATTTGCACAGCTCTTACCGAGTTACTCTCATGTGGGATACAGGGTTCGTGAAGAAAATCAAGAAGTTTTTTATTTATTTAGTACGAAATTAATAAAATCGTTTGGTTTATTTTACTTACAAAATTTATTTTATCTCCCTACTAAAAATATTCCACATAGATTGTGTCAATAGACAGCTGTCAGACGAATGTATAGATTTTTAGATTTGGTTTTAGTGCCTAATTTTATATATTTAGGTTACACATACATTCGGAAAGTTGGTTTTCATTGCTTGGGACTTTTGTGAAAAAAAAAATTATAATGAACATGTATTCGATATTTTGAATAAAATAGAAGAGTAAAGGCAGACTACCTGCTTCGATGGTCGAGTTTTTGCATTAAAATTTGTCACTACTGCGCACGGACATGTGCGCATAGTAAAATGGAATCTGATTTTGTGCTCGTAGGCTCACTCATATGAAACGAGGTTCATAATAATATTTCTTTAATTCTCTAAAATTAATTATGATGTATCCTTTTTGATATGTATTGTATTTATTTTCTTGAGCTAATTTAACTTTACACAACGTCCCTAGCGATCTTTTCATTACAAACATTATGCCTACCTGTGAACGGCGTCGTGGCTCACATTATAACCTAAACTTTTTTGTATTTAATAGTTGTAAGTTTAATAATGTAACTGTTTGTTTTTCCCTTTTGATAAAATAAAAATTGTACATAAAAAATACAACGAAAGCGTTCTTTCATGTCGGTCTTTTGAGCTGGCTTCATTCCAAAGCTTACCTCTCTTTTTGACCGACTTAAAACCACCACGAATCTTTTTCCACGACCACGATACATCCAATGATGTGAAAGGCAGGCAATACAAGCACAATTGCTTAACCTCATCTTATACTACGGCTAATAATGATGGTGATGATTAGTGAAACTGACTCAGATTGCAAATAATAAACAGGACGTGATGGGAACTTCTTGACTAATTGAGGAACCGAAAAAAACAGTAAACACATGGTTGTATTTCCTTCCTCGTGCGTGGTCCATTATGTCAATTACTTTACAACATATGTTTACATATATACATGATATAGTGGGTGATGTCATAGTGCAAATTGCCCGGGTAACATCCTAATTGACTGGTGATATTGGTTCAAATGAAACCCCCTGCCGATCGATGATGATAAATGGTTGTAATCATTAACTGTTATTCATTTAGTAGCTACATTATCGTTGTACCTTTAGAAGGTATACATACACACATTATTCAATGAATAATAAAAAATACAACATTTATCCGAACTGATATTATAAATGCGAAAGTAACTCTGTATGTCTGTCTTTTCTTCACGCCTAAAATACTGTACCTATTTGTCCGAAATTTGGTACAGACATAGTTTGGAACTCGAGAAGGAACATAGAATAGTTTTTAAACCAAAACCAGGAAGTCACTATTCCACGCGAACAAAGTCGCGGGCAAAAGCTAGTTCTAAATAAAATACAACATCATTTTTAAAATAAGGTTCATGATACACAGATAAAAATAAAAAAGTAAGCGAGTGATAAAGATTGCCTACAACTAGTTCATAATAAAATATCTAAAAATATGACAACAATAGCTCTAATATTAATACGGCTGCGAGTTATGAGTTTTTAGTAAGAAAATTACAAACAAAAATCTGTCAACAGAATCCGTATCATCAGTATCAACCACGTTTGCTGACAACGTGTTGCTAAATTCAGGCCATTTACATTTGAGCACTCACCTTGTTTACACCACATCGGCAAGCTTCATACTCGTATATCAAACATTAAAAACTTTTTTTTGGAATTGTAATTTTAGTAGTACATAATACCGTGGCTCATCTGCACCCTGAGGACCAATAAACCAATGAACCTAGCCCCAAATAGCCACATAAATACAGTAACAAAGAATACACGGTATGCGACCCTAAAATAATGGCAAAGGCGACACAAGGCTTCAAGCGTTGATTAAGTCATTCAATCACTAAACTACAGTACGTTAAAAATACAAGGACGCGGCATTTTGATATTCTCTTTTTAAATATCATTGTTTATAATTTATGTTAATGTATTATTGTGTTTTGCAGTGTGAATTTTTTTTAATTTCTGCTGAATTCTTGACTTTAAACTATGTACTAAATAGATGGGTTTTTTAAAATCGCATGTTTTGTTTTGCACGTTGTGACGTCATGTTTCACATTCATTTCTCTTGAATTATATATAAAAAATGCGAAGTTACAGTTTAACTTAAGGTGAATAAAAAGGTGATTATTTTGAAGACTTTTTTTTTAAATTGTAATGATATGGAAATCAACTTTACGAATACTATTAATACAAAAAAAAAGAATACTAAAAGCATATCTGTGTGCTACGAACTCAGTGACAACAGTTGTCACATCCAAAGCCTTCCTAATTCGTCGATCGAAGAACGAAGCGTGTAGTACCACGTGGTTCTTTTGGGACTTCATAAATTAATTAAAAGCATAATATATATAATTTGGATGGTTGGGCAATCGCCATTGTAGGGTTGGGTTAGCGTTAGGGGTACTATGCCAGTTCGAGGTGAAAATTGAAATTAATTTATTTCAATGTTGTTTGTATCGGGGTTAGAGGATTTTCAATTGTTTTCAGCGACAATAATTGCTTGGGAATAAAAAAGTATTGGAATCAAGACTGTGTGTAGTTTAATAAAGATTATTATTTGTCATTGAATGAATTTGAATTTATATTATGAGTTAATTTATGCGGAAGGCTGTGTAGGACTCTTACGTAAGAAACTTTTATGAATCTTTTACTATACTAATTGGAATATTATTAAATATTTTGTGTTACTAAGGTTCTACTGACTGTTTTTAAGTTCAGGACATGCTACAATGTCATCCAAACAGCAGAATTATAAATTTTACATTTAATTTATACATATTTCTTTTTTATAAACGTTTGACTTCCGACATATACAGTTATTGAAGGTAAATCCTCCGCTGCCGTCGTCGGTCAAAGATGACCTCCGTGGCAATCAACGTGTTATTTATTTGGTAATTTACAAATAAAGTAATAATTCATTATATTATTGTGATATTATTCGCACTACTAGTTTTTGATTAATTTTTAAGACATTAATTTTTTTTTATCCTGTCATGATTGAATTTCGTGCTAAAACGCAATGACGTAGCACTGACGTCAACAAATTAACGTCACGACGCCATACATATTTAACTACGTAATATATTATATTATTATATTACATTTGGTTACAACCGTAACCATGGCAACCGAGTGTCAGATCAGATTCTATAATAACAAAATATAGTACAGTATTTTAATTTAAACAATAAACTGGAGTTTGATATTTTATTATTTGCTGTAATATTCTTGACTTTTTACAGCCTAAAATATACCTATTAAAGAGAAGAAGCTATTTAATTAAGCTACATTAAAAATAGAGCTTTAATAATATTGTTGCATTCGATCTATTTTAAATCTAAAGCAATGTTCATACTTTATGTGACATTTTGAAGTCACGGCTTGTAAATATTTACAGACGAGCTGTCACTACAAAGAAAACTCTTCAAATGCCAAACCTACGCACACATGAGAGTCGTAAATAAAACGATTTTTCTTATATCAATATCTGGCCATGTGACGATTCTTAGAATAATTAAAAGAAATATTTAATTCATTTAAATATGGAACACGCAAAATATTTGAAAAGGAACGTGATTATTTTGAAAATGACTTTTCTAGTAATGTTTTTTAAAATTTATTTGACACCACGCTTAAATATGTCCAAAGAGGTCGGTAAAGAAGCACATACTCATTGAAACGTCTAGCTATCACTTCGTATTCGTCCCATTTCAAAGAAGTTTAGACATTACCATCTATGAAGCACAATATGTATTGTATTAGACATCGTTCTATTTATAAATTATCGAATAACCTTTATTCATTTTATTTTTGCGAACTCGGAAGTGGAATCTCAAATCCTTAAAGTAAGATGAAGAAAAATAAAAGCATATTTGTCAAACATAGGGCGATAGCTAGTGGTAAATAAATATGCACATGTTACTTGCTTCATCTAGAAGTTTAGCAGTATAAGGTAAAAAAAGTAGCTTGTACATTATTTCAGACCATAATCAATTTCTGTGCCAAATAATATTCGGATCTGTCCTATAGTTTTTGTGTGAAAGAGTAACAAACATTCATCAATCCATCCACAATAAAAAACTTGTGTTTATGATATTCGTAGAATTATCCTACAAGTGGGGTATGCTGAGGGTTCATGTTGTCTACGCCAAACTTTTTTTAAGTGTGGGAGAGCCATTCTTCGGCCTCACAGAAAACCTGCGAGAAGCAACCACAGCGTTGTGTTTCGCCGTGTGAGTGAGGTTACCGGAGGCCCAATCCTTCCCCTCCCCTGACCCTTCCCCAATCCCAAAATCTCCAAATCCCTAATCCCTAAAAGGTCGGCAACGCACTCGTAACTCCTCCGTTGATGATCTTAGCAATCAGCGCCGCCCATGGACACCCCATGGGCGGCGCTGATTGCTTACCATCACATAATCCGTCTGCTCGTTTCAATTCAGAAAATTTGTTTAAACTGAACTGCAAACCTACAAAAGACCGGCAACTCATGTGTAACTTTTTTGGTGTTCCGGGAGTCTATGGGCCGTTTCGGCCGCCGCCGCTCGGTTGCCGAACCATACCATAAAAAAATGACATCAGAAAATAATATAAAAATGTGATATTATTGTTTTGTGTGTATGTTTCAAAAACATTCCGGATACAACACAGTTTGATTTCAATCTATTTTAATCTGCAAAGTGGTGTATGTTTACATGTTTGGCGTGGCGTACATGACAGATGGATCGCTCATGTTGGTTTAGGCTTGGAGGTCAACAACTAATGTAATAGTAAAATACTTAACGGCCGCCAATATGTGTTTAAGTACCCAATTTCCAGGGAATAGTGAATATTTTGATAGAAGTTTCGAATTGATGATATTTTGTGTATTATCATCGTCTCAAGCCACGTAAAGGTCATTTCTCACTTTGAGAAGGAACGAGGTTTAATCACCACGCTTGATTTTTTTTTTTTTTGTTTGGGGAAAATCATCAAATGACTTCTCCCGCCCAGGGCCGGGCAGGAGGGAGTGTCAGACTCTTACTGACTAAAAACCCCCCTGTTCCTTCTCCTGCTCTGTGCCGAGGTCGCGGTACCTCATTGCGCTTACCCCTCAACCCCGGCACCACGCTTGATTAAGGCGGATATTTAGATTTTAGGGTACATACATTATCAGGAATTATTTGTCCAGTTTTACCAAGATGTTTTCATTCTGCCGTAAGTCAGTTGTATCTTTTATTATGTAAAAACTCGAAAGAAGTCACATTTTATTTCCTTCTCCTCTTCTTCCTCCGAGTGACATTTATAAAAAACATGTTAATGTGATCCTAAAAAACTTAATCTGATTTTGTATCCATTTTTATCGACTAGCTTACTCTAAGTACGTTTACACCGTTTTCAGGTACATTTTGGTTATTGTTAAATACCCGATATGAACAATGTTCCAACCATTCACGTTTGAGACAAACCCTTGCACAAAAACAATATTAGTGCAAGAAAAAAATTTGATAAACATTTTACATGCTTGATCGTTATAATGTACACTCCAAGTAACTATACTGTTAAATTAAATATCTTATTAGGTTTCTTTCGGTATTCCTGAGCACAACAAACAAGAAAGCTTTTAGAATGTAAACTTCACTTCTCTATTTTGCGACTGAGTTACAAAGCTTCTTACATAAAGGCTACGGACTGTGATATTAGGTTAGAATCCCATCTACAACTTTTTACTCCACCAAGATTGTGGGTACAATGATTGTGCGCGATGATAATAATATGTCGTTGCACTGACAGACACAGACTGACAGACTACTTTTCTATTTTGACTTTTCAAAAGTATCTATACCTATATGGTTTAGTTGGAATAAATGATTTTGACTTTGACTTTGACTCAAGGCAGGAGTAGGAGCTAGGTGATTTTCAGTCAGTAAGAGAAGAGATGGCTCTTATTTCGTCTCACCCAAGATGGGAGAGGTCGTTTGATAATTTCAAACCACAAAAAAAGGTCTCAGCTTAGAAACAGATTGATGGCAACGTAAATAAAGTTTATGAGAAAACCTGTGATATGTTGATATCAGATAAACCAAATCTACACACACAATTAATAGTTTTTACAAACACGAAATAATTGCTAAACTTGTATTTACTAGAATCACAAAACAATACCAAACAACTGAAGGGTATGAGCAAAGATAAAGTTTAATTAAACGATACATTTTTGTCTTTATCCCAAAACTATGAGGCAAATAACTCGAGCTAAACAAACAAAACAAATGACAACAGAACGAGTAATTGTACATCACGAAATAGACTTTCTTTAGAATTGTCTCCATTTTCTGAAACACAATAATGGGAAAACATAACAATGTTCGCGTAATATGTTGTTCGACGTGGAATGCATAAAATGTGCTCTCAAGTCGCGGTGTGCCTGCAATATAAGTATAAGAGTATTGTTCTACGATCCGTCTGCCTTGATGGCTTCAGAATGAACAATTGCGTCACCATTCTGTTTTTGAAGACTGCGAGCGAGAGAAATTAATTGCGAAGTTTTTTTTTGTTGTTTGTTTGGATGTTTGTATGTAATTTTAATATGTTTTGTTGATATCTTTCTATTATGTTTCGCTTGCAAATTTGAAGTTGATGATTTATCATAATTCATTCTATCTTTACGTTAAGGGTTGACTTCGATTACAATCTTACTTAGGTAACAGTTTACAGAACAAGATATGAAATTGAAAAATATTTGTAAACTATTGTTGTTTGACTTAAGTTTTAATTTAATTCTATAGATTTCTTTATTTATAACCAAAAAATAACAAAGTGACCACGTTGATTATTTCTGAATGTATTGCAGTGTAATCATCATGTCGTGTATGATCATAACTTATTATCAAAATTAATGAATTAATTTTAAATAACATTAATTATCATAAATGTACGTATAAAATTATACTTAGAAAAACTTTATGAAGAAAAATAAAATCTAAACAATAAAAAAAATTTTTACACCAACAAACAAACATTTTCACTAAGCTAAATCGTTAGATTGCTATAGTTTTCCCGCATACCAATCATAGACGTTTCTAAATCAACCTATTTTTGTAAGTCTCTTTGTCTTTTCATGTATAGGAAATGCGGATTTCCTAGCGTACACGACACAGAAGTGCTGACTAGACAATTGCTCAAAGTGAAATGCAACGGCGACTGGTTTCATTGTCCAAATGTAAAAGTTTGTCTATCGAGGTCGTTGCCCCTGTGTACGTCAATTTATTTGTTATCCCACAAAGAAAATTTTAAGCTTATGTTGTTTGTCGATTCAAGATGAGTTAGAGTTTTAATTTTTCTTTTTTCACGAGATGTCACTAGTGTGCCGTAAGGTTCTAGCAATTCAGCCAACTTTGCCGTCACCCTAAAAGTAAAGCTAACATAAATGATTTAAGAAATTGACCAACCATCTAACCTTAGCCTTTAAAATATTCATTGGTCTAGAGATAAAACCGAAGATAAAACCTATGAATTATATTATCGAAATATGCTGTATTAAAACGCACGTGGAAAAAGACCTAATTATTTACAAAGAATAGACATTTGAGCTATGTTGCAAAAAAATGTCTGCAGAATGCATTAGCATAAATCAACATCCATATTATAAAGATACTCGCTACTCTCGCGTGGTTTCACCCGCTGCTCGGCTCCGTTTAATCGTAACGTGATGTTTTATAGGCTAAAGCACTCAGGAACAATGTAGCTATCTATTAGTGAAAGAATTTTGACAATCCGACCAGCGGTTCCAAATATTACCCTCGACATACAAACTTACCAATTTTACCTCTTTATAATATAGTATATAGATTTGTCTATAAGTAACAACTGATTTTTAAACTTCATTGATTTCAGTGTCTTGTGTCGTTTATATTTCTCATTTCGAAGCACTACATGAAGAGATTTCAATCAGGACAATGCAGTATCTACGAACTTCTTTTTGTGTTTTTATTTGGTGCGAGTGTTTGTCATGTGAATAAAAAATAAATAGCTAAATGACAACACGACCTCACAGAAAAGCGGCGTGAATAAATCACCGCGTTGTGTTTCGCGGTGTGAATCAGGATCCTGTCCGCTCAATCCTACCCGGAACCATTTTTTTCATTTTCGAAATCTCCAAAACCCTAATCTACAAGAGATCGGCAACGCACTCATAACTTCTCCGACTTTACGGCGGGCGGCGCTGGTTGCGTTTTAGATGCGTTAATGGTAATTGTAATAGAGGAAAATGTAATAATTTTCCTTAGAGTTTACTTGACACGTGTATAAAAAGAGCTCCTTATATAATAATCCAGACGCATTCAAATATCAAACGTTTACAAGTACAAATATTTGATTCGATCAATGCGGGTTCAGTAGGTACATCATTATACTGAGACGGAATGTAGAAGATTATTTAGCGAGTAATTTTATCTATTTAACGAGTAATTTTTAGAATGTAGGTATCCTTTTTTGAGATTTCAGAACATATCATAATGAATCATTTTTAGGAGTAGGTATTTAAAACACCTTTAAATATTTTTTCTATTGAAGAGAAGGAAACGAAACATTGCCTGATGTTAAATGGTCACTAGCAACTTAAAAAAAAAATTGCGTTGTTGGTGATATAAATTTCCAATAGTTTTTTTTATATAAATTTCCAATAGTTTTTATTAATAGTCAAGATACAGAGAAAATAGTAACTTTGGCCATTTTTGTACCACTTCTGCAATTCCCTTTATTGCCTTTAATGCGTTTTTTCTGTGTTATACTTTTTTTAGTTTTAACTTATACCGTCACGAAGGCGTAAGTGTAGGAGCACTTGCCATTACCAAATTAACTATACCAATATTATAAAAAATACAATTTGTATGTTTGTAAGTCCGTATGTTTGTATGGAGGGGGTAATCTTTGGAACCGCTGGTTGCGCGCGGATTGCCAAAATTCTTTCACTAATAGATAGCTACAATGTTCCCGAGTGCTATAGGTTATAAAACATCACGCTACAATTAAATGGAGCCGAGCAGCGGGTGCAACCGCAAGCGAGTAGCTAGTGTTATAAAATATTACATAATGTAAAACTCGCTTTTCAAAAGTCATGTTTTGATTTACATGTAATAGGAGGTGATTGCCATATATCGAACACAACTCGGACTACAGATTTTCCATTTTTTTTTTTTTGTGAAACTAAAGTTCCTTTACCACTTTGTACGAGCAGTGAATATTCGACAGCCCTTGCTTGGTAGTCGTACTAGCCACCTGTAAATTGCAGTAGGGTCAGCAGACAGCAAGCAAATAAATAGCTCAGCGACCAGCACCAGATTCGAGCGTATGGCGTGTAGCTTTTGTGTGTGCCACCAGACTACTATAAACGGAGCCCATCAAAGCTGACGCTCAGCTGGTTTTGCGGGATAACCGCAAGTAGGTACCACGACGTCGGCCTAGAGCAGGAAAAAGAACAGGGTGGTTTCTAGTCACTAAGTATCTGACACTCCCTCTCGCTTCACCCTAGGCGAATTATTCATTTGATGAGCCAAGTGCGCTAAAATAGCCCATGGTCTAGCATAATCCTGTCTATCTGTTCAGCGCTGCGGTCAGCTCAAATTACATACTAATAAAATATGAGCCTCGACCACTAATGCCAATTTTAACTCAAATATAAACTTTCTCTCAATTTCTAATTCAATTTACAAGCCCGTGTTTTCAGAAACGTCATTCCAGCGGGTCGCCAAACTAAATGTTTTAATTAAGAATATTTCTTTTGGCACCTGAGCACAAGTCTATCGAAGTATATAGTACGCTTCGTTATTTCTAGCTGCTGGTGTAAGTTGATTGTAAAATATTTTATGTCCTATATAAAATATTTTCTTTTACATTATGTTGTGTGTAAGTATTTACGAATGTTTTTGTTTTTACTTTTGTTTATGAATTTTGCTTGAAATTAGTTTTAAGTTTGTCTAAATTTTACAGTTTTTGACAAATAATAATAAATATGTATACTTATATATTAGATTTTTAACATTATGTACATAAACGTCATTTTGAGATATCACGATCTTGATTCTTGCACAAGAAGACTGA